GAGATCCCTATCCATGACTTCTTGTTCTTTCTTTTGGGATGAATTCCTCCATCTTGACATTTTGTCTAGTTCTCTGTATTCTGTGTCTTAGGAAAGCCTATTCTGTTTCCTGCTCCTAAAAGTAGTGGCTCTATGAAGAAGAGGTCCTATACTGCTCAGGGCCTCATGCTTCAGGAAATATTTCTGGTGTATTCTGTGTGCACTCTACTACTGTGTTTTGGCTGCTCTTTCCCTCAAGTCATTGCCCTACAGAGTTTCTCTTTGTCTTTCTCATTTCCCCCAAGTGGGGAATGCTTGTCCCTTCTCCAGTGAGTGGCAAGTTTTAACTAGGTGTGTTTCAGTCTGCTTGTTAAAAGAGGCTAGTTCCTATTTCTCCTAGATCCTATTTCCCCTACAGCTTTTTTAGCACTCTATTGTCAGTAGACTGGTGTAAGTGGGCAATTTTTGCTGGTCTTCTGGCAGCAGGGTCCACTGATGCTCTGAGTTTGAGGCACACTTGCCCTAGTTTAAAAAAAGTGCCTGCATAGTGCAGGGGAGTGGGCTTGATGTAAATGGTTCAAGCCTCCACTATGGTTGATGTGCTGCTCACTGAAGTACATCCTTCCTGATGGGCATAGATAAAAATGGCATCAACCAGCTTTCTCATTTCTGAAGAGGGGATTTCATGCTAACAGCTATTCAGGAAGCCCTCTCAGAAGAGCAAACAATCTCCCCTAGTTTGTGCCACGCATCCCTCAGATCCCTGCCTTTACCCTGTCTTTGTCTGAGCCTTCTGCCAATTTGGTAGCACAATGCTCCTGTATTTTATCTCCGGTATGCCAGTTTGGTTTCAAAATTCCAAATTTTAGGGACCTGGCACTTCACAGACCCTCAATGATCCTCCAGGAGAGGGTCTCATTGCACTAGCTGGTGTAGGTTTTTTTCCAGAAGGTCAGTGACAGGAACATGTAGGGGCTTGGAATTTATGGTAAAAACACAGCAAAAGGTCAGCATCCAGGTTAGCTGCCCTCGGTGGGAGCCTCAGTTCCTATACTAATAAACAGGCTAGCTCAGTGGTGCCCACGTGCTCTTTTGTCCCTGTAGAGGCAGTGCCACCTCTCCCAAATGCACTTAAAGAAGGAGAACTGCCTCTCCCAGTGAGATTCTCAGCTCCTCAAACTGCAATGGCCACTCCTGGGTCTCTCCCTTCCTTCTCCACAGGAGCACCTCTATGCCCACCAGGCTCCACACTAGTGATGGCAGACTTCTAAAACCTCAGACATTGAGCAACACTGCTTGTAAAAACTTGTGATAATCATCCCCTCTTGTTTTTCTTGTCAATTGTTTGGTGGGGGAGAGTGTTTTTTGCGCAATGCCTTGAGCCTCCTCCTCTCTCTCTCTCCCCCCCCCCCCTGATCAGGTCTCCCTTCCCTATGCATCATCCTGATTTTTTTGTCCCTCAAATGACATCTGCACATTTCCTACCCTCCACAATGTGGCGTCTTTTCTCCTTCTATTTACTCAGGTTTTTCTCTCAGTCCTCAGATCAATTTCCTGTATGTTCAGAAGGATTTGATAATTATCTAGCTGTGTTTTTAAGATAAGGCAAGCCCGGGGTACCCCTACTACTCTGCCATATCAACTCACAAAGGGTCAAATTATTTTTAAATGCTAAATGAATACAAAGCAGTAGTAAAAACCAATTTTGCAAGGGGAAAAATATTGAAGAGCATCAAGGATAAATGTCTAGAATGGAAAGAGAAATAAAGGAGGGAAAAAAATCTGCCCTAAAAGAATCAGCTCCCCCCAACTTAAAGGATTTCCTACTTATAGCTACACATGAGTTTAAGTCAAGTACACTTGTAAAATAATATTTCTTAAAGGATCCTTAACAGAGATGTATGTCAAGAACGGTTTCTAAAATTAGAAATGTAGGGCCTCAAAGTATCAGGAAATCAGTTTTTTTATGTACATTTTCAGTTAAATGTAACCTTTACATTTCTGGGTAATAAAAATATCTTTCAATTTAGAGACTAAACATAATTCTGATGTTGTGAAAATCAAATTAACATAAATCTAACTGTTAAATGATTCTTCTTTTGAAATTCCTAAAACATTGGTAGCATTAAAATATTTAATTAACTTGAGGAAGTCATAACCATTCCATACAAACTTTAATAGTAAATATGAGTGGATCATAAACTACCAAATATATCTCTAATTATTTTGACAACATAAAATAATTCATGTTAGTAATATACTGAAGAAGAATAATAACATCTATTTTTTCTATCCTGGACATTACTGGGAGAAATAGGGAACTAGATACTGAAATATAATATCAAATATCTTCTATCACTGACCTGCTACTTAATACTTACCAAATATGAATACTGTATTGAGAAATGGAAAAATTCATTATAATAATCTAGACATATTAAAATTATACAAACTATAGTTTTGTTAATCAGATGGTGATAATATATACATTATATAAATTAAGTAAATTGCTTCCCATATCTCATATATATGTATATATGAGACAGAGAGTTTTAACTGAAGAAAAGGGTCAGAAGACCATGAAAGTCCAAAGCTATAAGTGAGATGAAGTGTATTAGTTGCCTAAAACAGTCAATAACAAAACAGCATCAGGCAACATAGGCAATACCTAAGGTCAGATTTAAAGAATACTGTTTAAAGAATTTATGCATCACAGGGCAATCTCTACAACCCTTCATTATTAAAAAAATAAAAATTAAAAAAGGGACAACCAGAAAAAAACACAGTTCTCAGCATCACACTGGAACAGGCAAACATATCGCCAAAAATCCTATATATGAAAACATTAAACAAAGAGATAAATTTATAGGGTTAGTGTTTCTTATGACTTATATGATTTAACTAATACCAAATGAGTACCTGAACCATCACACAGTAAACGTACATTATTTTAAAAGTTTAGATACCACTCTAATAAAAAAAAATTAGATAACTCAGAATATAAACTAAATCAAATCCTGGGGCTTCTGGGTGGCTCAGTTGGTTAAGCATCGTCAGTTCAGGTCCTTCCTTCCTCTCTGCTCAGCCAGGAGCCTGCCTCTCCCTCTCCCTCTATATCAAGCCTGCTATTCCCCCTGCTTGTTTGTTCCTCTCTTCCTCTCAATGAATGAATGAATGAATGAATAAATAAATAAATAAATAAATAAATAAAATCTTTCTTAAAAACTAAATCAAATCCTTATAACTGATTCTAGGTCTCTAATTCTCCAAAACTTCAGATTTCCCTTTCTAGCCACTAAAGGTGACTGTCTAATTTAGATCATCAATCACTGTATATTTTTATTGTCTTTCCATTAGAAGTATACCTCTTGATTCTTCCTTTTTAAAAATTGGAAGGTAAATATTTGATAATATCTCTATATATACATCTATGTGTTTATGTTGGCTATATATGTATATATGTCCACTTGCACACACATATGCTTTTTTCTGCCTCTTGTGGTGTGGAGCATGGTATTTCCCTGTGAAATTATTAATTCTCAAATTTACCTTTCCCTATTGCCTTTTGTATTTTCCAGTTATACTTTACCTTCTATAAACTAGTAACATAAGTACCATACTTCCTAGTACATATGGTCTATAGATAAAGCTTTAGATGATTTTGATGGAAATTTACATTTAGTTGTACTCAAATTTAAGTTATTATTAAGTTAATATTAAGCAAATTGCAAAAGCCATAACGACATTTTATCTCTTGTTAATCAGAACTAAGGTTATTGTTATATTATCACAGTCTGCAGAGACAGTGAATTTTTACATAGAATACTTCAAAGAAGAATCTTGGACAAACCCAATTTAAATATCTCTCCTGGTACTATCTGAAAAAAATCCTCTTTACACCAGCTTGGAGGGAAAAGAGGACATCAAGGTTGATTTTATACATAACTAAATAAGAAAAGGATGATGTCTTCCTTATTTTCCACATCTTTTAGTCTACACAATACACAGATGAATTAACATGAGGTACACTGGACCATAAGTCTTACTTCTGCTACTTGTTATTTTGATGACCTTGTATAAATCACAACCTCTCGAGGTCTCAAAAGACTTACCTATACAATGAGATTATTCAAAATATTATCTCTGAGGCTCATTCCAGCTTAAACAACCTATAATTTTGTGAAAAAGTCCATTTAAATGACAATTATAAAATAAAATAAATGTGAATGTTCATCTTAGATCCTTCTTGAAATCTTAAGAACACTGTTTTGTAAAACTAGATCTTGTACAGTGAGGGACTAGTACATAGGCCTAGCATAGAATGGCCCAATAGCTGAGTGGTCTTTATGTATTTTTTAAAAAGATTTTATTTATTTATTCATGACAGACACAGATAGAGAGAGAGAGGCAGAGAGACATGGGCAGAGGGAGAAGCAGGCTCCATGCAGGGAGCCCGATGTAGGACTCGATCCCGGGTCTCCAGGATCACATCCTGGGCTGAAGGCAGTGCTAAACCGCTGGGCCACCTCAGTGGCCGGGGCCAGGGCGGCCCAGCTGAGTGGTCTTTAAAACTAGTTAGAAAATTCTGAAACAATTTAAATGTAATAATTTTTCAAAGCCAGGAAATGGATTTTAAATGAACTCAGGTTAAATATTACTACATTAGATCTCTTTTCTACCATAAAGTTGAAGGTAATCTCATTTTGTTTAATTTAGATGATTCTGTATTTAAGCAACCCAGTTACTTATATACTAGTAAGTAGAATTTTCATTCATTACCCTTAAAATGGGGGAACTTCATGGCATGTAAATTATGCCTCAATACATTTGTCTTAAACTTCACATGTGAAATTTTCTGACAAGAAAAACTATATTTTTAAATGTTATTTTTTATAATTGAATTTGCTTATTACTAACTTACCTCAATAAATTTTTTAATTGACAGATTATTTTCTCCTTTCCCATTATTCTCTTCCTTATATTTTAAAAATGTAGCATAATGAGTTAATCAAAGTACTTACTTGGCAAGAATCTACTTCTTCCTCTTCCATTGGCTCATCAACCATTTGAAGACCATTCACCTGAAAAATATTGTAAATTATTTTCAAGATGTTATTTAAGTAATCTCTATACCCAACATGGGGCTTGTACTTACAACCCCAAGATTAAGAGTGCATGCTTTACTGACCAAGCTAGCCAGGTGCCCCATCTGTCAATTTTTTAAATTGTTTTGTTTTGTTAGTTTCTTGTAATTGACTTGTATGAGTTCTTTCTATATTTTGGATATTAATCCCTTATCAGATATATGATTTGGAACTACATTGTCCTTTCACTACATTGCTTTATTCATTCTTTGATGGTTTCCTTTGCTGTGTGGAAGCTTTTTAATTTGAATTAGTCCCATCTGTTTATTTTTGCTTCCCTTGCCTTTGGAGTCAGATCCAAAAAACATATCGCTAAAACTGGTATCACAGAGATTACCATCGAAGTTTACTTCTAGGATTATGGTGTCTTGTCTTACAGTCAAGTCTTTATTCCATTTTGAGTTAATTTTGTATAGTGTAAGAGTGTTCCACTTTCATTCCTTGCAGGTAGCTGTCAAGTTTTCCCAACATCATTTATTAAAGAGACTGCATTTTCTCCATTGTATATTTTGCCACCTTTGTCATAAATAAATTGACTATATTGTGGTGGTTTTACTTCTAGAATCACTGTTCCATTGATCAATGTGTCTATGTTTACACTGTTACTATACTGTTTTGATTACTATAGTTTTGCAATACAGTTTAAAATCGGGGTGCATGAGGGCCCTTGGGTGGCTTAGTTGGTTAAGCATCTGCCTTTGGCTCAGGTCATGATCTCCAGGTCCTAGGATCAAGCCCCATGCTAGGCTTCCTGTTCAGTCAGGAGTCTGCTTCTCTCTCTCCCTCTGCCCCTCCCCACCACTTTCTCTCTACTTTCTCTCTCTCTCTCTCTCATAGGTAATTTTTAAAAAAATAAAAATAAATAAATAAATAAATAAATAAATAAATAAATAAATAAATAAATAAATTCAGGGTGCGTGATACCTCCAGCTGTGTTCTTTCTCAACACTGTTTTTGGCTTTTCAGGTTTTTTTGGGGGGGACCTATATAAATCTTAGAATTATTTGTTTAGTTCTGTAAAAAATTTCAGTTTAATTTTAATAGGGACTACATCAAATCTATAGTTTATTTGGCATAGTTTGGACAGTTTAATAATATTAATTCTTCCAATCCATGAACAGAGAATATCTTTCCACTTGTTTCTTCTTCAATTTCTTTCATCAATACTCAATATTTTCCAGTATACAGGTCTTCACCTCCTTGGTTAAATTTATTTCTATTTTACTCATTTGATGCTATTGAAAATGGAGTTGTTTTCTTGATTTCTTATTAGCTCTGATAGTTTTGTGATGGAGTCCTTGGGGTCTTCTATATATAGCATCATGTCATCTGCAAATAGTGACAATTTCACTTCTTTCTTTCCAATAAGAATGATTTTATTTCTTCTACTTGCCTACTTGCTGTGGTTACAACTCCCAATACTATGTTGAATAAAAGTAAGGATAATAGTCATCCTTTTCTTGTTCCTGATCTTAAAGGAAAAGCTTTCAACTTTTCACTATTTAATATTAGCACTGAGTTGGTTATATATGGCCTTTATTGTATTGGCTCACATTACCTCAATACCTACTTTATTGACAGTTATCATAAGTGAATGTTGAATATTGTCAAATGCTTTTTCTGCATCTACTGATAGGATTATGTGATTTTTATCTTTCATTATGTTAATGCAATGTATCATGTTGATTTATTTGTAGATGTTGAATTATCCCTGCATCCTTGCACCACATGGCCATGATGTATAATCCTTTTTTAAAAAGATTTTATTTATTTGAGAGAGAGCATGACAGATGGAGGGGTAGAGGAATCAGCAGATGCCTCTAAGTTGGGAATCTATATGAGACTTGATATTAGGACCCCAAGATCATGACCTGAGCCAAAGGCATATGCTTAACCAATGTGGCCACCCAGGCACCACCTTTATTAAATTTTTTAAGATTTAAGAGGGAGAAAGTACATGTGAAGGAGGAGCATATGGAGAGGGAGAGAGATTCTCAAGTAGATTCTGCACTGAGTGCTGAGCCAGATGCTGGGCTCAATCTCATGACCTCGAGATCACAATGTGAGCCAAAATCAGGAGCCAGAAACACAACTGACAGTGCAACTCAGGCACCTCATATAATCCTTTTAATGTATTGCTGAATTCAGTTTCAAATATTTTGTTAAGAGTTTTGGCATTCATTTCATTAGGGATATTGACCTATATATTTTTTTAAGTCTGTGTCTGGTGTTGGTATCAGGTTAAAACTGTTCTTGGAAAATGAATAAGGAAGCTTTCCCACTGCATTGATTTTTGGAAGGGTTTGAGGGTAGGTAGTAAGTATTCTTTGAATGCTGTTTTCATTTATCTCTAGGTACTTTATTTCCGTTTGATTTTTTTCCTATGACTTTGTAGTTGTCCAGCAGTATGTTGTTTAATCTCCGTGTATTTGTAGTTTTCCCAGTTTTCCTCTGGTAATTGATTTTTAGATCTATACCACCGTGGTCAGAAAAGATGCTTCAAATTATTCTGTTCTTCTTAAATTTATTAGACGTGTTTTGTAGCCTAATACATAATCCACCTGGAGAATGTTTCATGTGCACTTCAGAAGAATGTGTATTCTGCTGCTTTTGGATGGAATGATCTATATATATATTAAATTATCTAGTCTAATGTATTAAATGTATCAGTCTAATGACCATTAAATTATCTAGTATCTAGTCTAATGATCATTGAAGAACAATGTAGTCTTACTGAAACAAGGTTTCACGTATGTCTGGATATGATCTATCCATTGATGTAACTGGCATGTTAAAATCCCTATTATTATATTGCTGTCAATTTCTTCATTTAATAATTTATCCCTCTTAACATTTACATATTTAGGGGCTCCTAACTTGGGTGCATATATAAGTATTAGATCTTCTTGCTGGATAGACACCTTTATCATTATGTAGAGCCTCTCTTTGTTGTTCACTACAATCTTTGTTTGTTTAAAGATTTTATTTATTTATCCATGAGAGACACATACACAGAGAGGCAGAGACACAGGCAGAGGGAGAAGCAGGCTCCATGCAGGGAGCCCGACACGGGACTCGATCCCGAGTCTCCAGGATCACACCCTGGTCCAAGGCGGCGCTAAACCACTGAACCACCCAGGCTTCCCTACAATCTTTATTTCAAAGTGTCTGTTGCCTGATATGAGCAGAACGATACCACCTTTCTTTTCATTTCCAGTTTCATGAAGAATTTTTTCCCATCATTGCACTTTCAGTCTGTGTGTGTCCTTAATTCTGAAGTAAATCTCTCATGGAAGGAATATAGACATGACTTTTTGCTTTATCTTGTTTTTGTTATTTTAACATATTAAGCCACTCTATTTCTTTTGATTAGAGGAATTAATCCATTTACATTCAAATTATTGATAGGTATGTACTTACTGCCATTTTGTTCAAAGTTTTCTGGTTGTTTTTGTGGTTCCCCTATGTTCCTTTCTTCTTTTTCTCCTTCTTTCTTTGTGGTTTGATGGCATTCTTTAGTGTTAATGTGTAGATTCCTTTCCCATTTTCTTTACTATTTGCTATATGATTTTGCATTGTGGTTATCAGGAGGTTCACATATATGATTCTACGTAAATAAGTCTATTTTAAGTTGAGAGCAATTTACACTGGAACATGTTCCACAACTCTACATTTTTACTCCTACACTACTTTTTTTTGTATTTATTGACACAAAATGAACAACCCTTTTAGAATTTTTATTTTAAAAAAGTAAGAATTTTATTCAACCTCCAGTTAGGACTGTCTGGTATACACAATCTTCTTCACAAAGGAGAGAGTGCTTCAGTAAGGGAACATTTGGTATAGGATTATATATTTTTTTTTACATAAACAGTTACAAATTATTACACAAAGAACTTTTCAGAAAGTTGTAGACCTTAGGTTCTAGTATAGGCTGTGCTATATGACTTTAATCTTGTGGAAACCAGGGATGTTTCTCACCTTTTCTTATCTTTTGTGTTCAGAATGCTCCGGTTTGGTTATTTTTTTTAATGTAGCAGATATGTGCTTGGGCCAGAAACAGAACCCAGGCTTTGAGGTTTTGCCAAATCATTTTGACCTTGGTAACAAAGTATAGCTTCCGTGGGAGCCTAGGGCCAGAGATCACAAACATTAAAAGGTGAAGACTTCTTTTATCAGATTTTGCAATATGGTTATCATGAGGTTCATATATATGATCCTGTGTATATAACCATCTATTTTAAGTTATTAGCAACTTTTATTTAAAAACATAACTCCATTTTTAGTCCCCACTCCACATTTTATGGTTTTGATGTAACTTTTTACATCTTTTTATCCTCTATACCCCATAACTAATGATTATAGTTTTAATTAACTATGTTTTCCTCCTAATCTTCATTAATTTATGTGACTTAACCATTATCTTTATATATTTGTTAGTGAGATTTTTACTTTTGTATATTTTCTTGTTGTTAACTACTGCCATTTCTTTTCAGAGTAAAGAAACCCCTTTGATATTTCTAATAAGGCTGATTTAGCAATGATGAAATCCTCTAGCTTTTGCTCATCTAGAACCCTCTTTATCTTTCCTTCAAAGTGCTGCAATGATAATCTTCCTGGGTAATATATTCTTACTTGGACTTTTTTTTTTCCTTTCAGTACTTTGAAAATGTTACTTTGAAACTTTCTGGCTTTCAATGTTTCCATTGAGAAATCTACTGATAACCTTATGAGATAGCCTTTGTATGTAACACATTGTTTTCTCTTGCTGCTTTTAAGATTTTTCTCTTTATATTTAACTTTTGACACTTTAATTATAATGCATCTTGGTGTGGCACTCTTTTGGTTCATTCTATTCGGAATTCTCTGGGATTCCTGGACCTGATGTCTGTTTCCTTCCCTACATTAGGGGAATTTTTAGCCATTATTTCTACAAA